ACATCTTTTGTTTTTTTTGTTTTTTCTATATATAAAAAATCATGTGATATGACGTAATTTCGACCATTTCGACTTTTTATTTCGACTTTGACCTCCAAAGTCGAAACATTTCGACTTTTTGGGTTTTCATTTCGACTTCATGTATAGGCATGATTGAGTGTATCTAGTATCTCTTTATATGTAAGCTTATGTTCGATGCCATCATGCACCTCTTGTGGTAAATCAAAATCTATAATAAGCTGGATTAGCTTATTCCTATCAATGATTTCATATAAGGAATGATCCTCATAATTTGAGAGTATAGCTTTTATTTTATTCGTATTGTTTACGTCAAGAAAATGTCTTAATCTAACACTATCATCACGAAATTTATATAAGCATTCACTGATATCTTTAGCTTTAAAATCTTATTTATGTGGGCGGTGGCGTCAAGAAAGTCTGAAAGCTCAGATTGTGTCATTTTTCTCAATCAATTTAAAATAATTTATAGCTATACCAAAACTCAAGGTATATTATTTGCAAGAAAAAAGTTTAAAATGAAATTAATTCCCTAACATTATTAATTGATATATACAAATAGGAGGCAGAAAAAAAGGTGACACCCTAGTATATATAATTATCCATATATTTTAGGATTAGAGAAGTGTGCAATCAGAGATGCTATTATCCAAAGGGATGTAAAGTCCACCGAAATTCTAGGCAGGTTTTTTGTAAAGAATGTGATAAACCAACAAGATCCAAATATAACTATTGCAATACGCATGCAAAAACTACCATCAGAAAAAGCTGGCTAGCTTTGACACAGGGACTAGTGGGTAATTAAGTATAGATAAAAACATTCTGATCATATCCTAAGGATACGATTTTTCTGATTTCTTATCACAAAGAAAAATATTCTTAGTGACACTCTTGGTGATACTTTTGGTAACAAAATTTATAGCTATTTCGCACTTTTAGAGTCATTGAATAGTTTTCAGATAGGTGTCATTATATCGGTAAGAGTCACTAAAAAAAAACTCAAGTTTCTAACTTTTTAATTTTTTAGCATATATGTATTATGTATATGTCATATAACCATAAGGATAATATAGAAAAATTTTGATTTTTTTCTAGAACTTTACTTTTTCTTAGTAACTCTTAGTGACATAATAACAGATATAAAGGAAGATAGTCTAACGTTCCTAAACTTTGAAAAAGAATACAAGTATATTACTAAGAGTATCACTGAGAGTAACATTAACAAATTTTTCATAGTGATAGGAGATTCTATAATGACAAAAATAGTATACTTATGACTTTGATCCAGTTTAAGCTATGATCAGGTCTCAGAAGTGCTTATAACATCTCGCAAATATCCCTCAAAAGTAGTGAGAAAGTACTTAGAATTTAAGACGTAATAGAATACAAATAATTTCAACCAACATTATAAGACATAATTTTTACCAGATTTTGCTATATATCATCTGACATAGAGCCTTCTGAGAGCGCTATCATATGATTCTTCTAATAACATAAATAAAGTATGTTATATGATTCCCCTAACAATATATGTAGAGTTGTATCTTCTGCGATTATTCATATTGAAGCAGTAAATTAATGATAATTTCAACTAGCATTATTTCATAACTTCAGCCAGAACTTTGGATATAATAATTTAGCATCCAAGCTGGCATAAAACTGACAAACTAATAGAACATCTCTGACTACCTGCAAGTTTTATAACAGTTTCTCACCAGTTTCATAACAGCTTCACAGTACAGTCAAATCTTGATATAGCGAATCCTTGATATAGCGAATTTTTAAATCAAATATATTAAAATTACCTTTACTATAGTGAACTAGCCAATTAAATTCTTTAAAAAATTCGTTATAAGCTTATAACGAAGTTGATATCCAAATCCTAGAATTCGTTATATCAAGAGTTCACTGTAGTTCTAGGATACTACTAAGTCACCATTATAGCGTCAAGTAGGATTCTTAAATCATGTACTCTAAAGATCAGCCAGAATTATGGTATAATATTAGCTGAAATTAATTGTAGCTACTTGATGTAATATTTTTTTACACTATTTAAGTATCCTAAAGGTAATCAAATAAGCATTCTCGATATCTTAACAGGCTACCAAACAGGCACAGAAGCAGGTAAACAAATGGATAGCTCTTTAGAAATAAAAAGAATACAGAGTAATATAAACACATGGATGGTTCCTTGATAAAAAAAAGGTCGTAGATAAGCAGGAAAATATACTCTATCAGATTATAACACCACTGTTAGATCATATAATAATCACACCAATAGAACGTGACACTACCAATCTACCATAACACTATATAGCAGGAATTAATTAAAATAGTAGTTAGAAAGCTGTAAAGATAACTAAACCATAGGTTATGAAGTCACTTGTAAATTATATCATCACATCAGATTATGACATTAGGTTATGATGCTACTACTAGATTATGATATTAGATCATACTACCACTATTAGATTATATCACCACCATTAGATTTCATAACCACCATTAGATTATGTCACCACCATTAGATTATATCATTACTATCATAACCTAACTTAAGTTGCTGAAGAATCTTTGATATAATTATATCAAAGATTCTCCGGCAACTTAATCTTATAATTAGATGAATACAATAAAAGTAAATAATAATAGTATAAAAAATCAAAGATAATTTTAAAAAAATATTATAAATGTAAACTGATCTATTAAAAACTTTATATGTAAGTAAAATGTAATCTAAAAAAATTGCAATTGATGACATTTCTTATTTATTATTAGTTTTTGAAATTCATTTAGATCATCTTTTATTATAAATATAAGTATTAAATTGATTTTAGGTAAAAAATTTGATTATAATCGTTATTTAGTTAGATTTTTAAAAGTAGAATTATTTTAAATGAATACTTTTACAAATAATATCAATCATCACCGATTATTTCCATATATAAGCATTTTAAAAAATTGAATGTTCTTTTGTGTCCAATAGAAAGAAACAAATTTTAATCTAAACCCGAACATTTAATGATTGTGATGTAAACCAATGGTAAGCCGATTACCAAAACTATTGAACCCCTGCAATTCGTTTGTACGTTTATGTTCCGACTTTCTTTTTCTCTTTTTTATTTAACAAGCGCTTGAAAAACGATGTCTGATAGGTATGCATTATAAAAGAAGAAAATGATATACGAAATTTGTAATATTGACTTAATACATTTTGTACAGTGAAGCCGAAACAAAAACTTTTATCCTTCGTACTGGTAAATATACTAAAGTTAAAAAAAATTTTTTTTGTTTTTTTTTAAAGAAACATTTTGTTAAATAATTTCTAATCTTTTACAGCTGGGTTTGACGCTCGCTTTCCAAATACCAATCAAACTAAACATTGTTGGCAAAATTACGTAGACTATTACAAATGTATTAGTGCACGTGGAGAAGATTATGCTCCTTGTAAACAATTCTTTAGAGCTTATCATAGTTTATGCCCTAATGACTATGTAAGTTAATTAATTACTCAACTACGTTTAGAATCATTATTTTGGTGAGTATATTTCCAGAAACCGAGAAAACTAACGATTTTATTTATAATATTAATTATCAAGATTTCAACGTGGGATAACCAAAGAGAAGAAGGCAATTTTCCCGTTAATCTTAAACCTTGATAAATTAGTTTTATGTTATTCTTTCTTTTAACTAAACGAATGATCTCAAACATTTGTTAATTGAGCGTTTATAAAAAGAAATTCATTTAAATAATTAAATAAACTGACACGATTCTTTTTAAAAGTTTTGATTCATAATTTTGGCCAAAAAGGGTATTGTGTTTTTATCAAGTGATGATCAATGTTCTGTCAAATAATAATGTGCAATCTGCTAATAATTTATTGGATAATCGCAAATATCATAATTACGAATTTATTTAAAAAGAAAGGGCTTTTTTTGCTCCAACATACTTTCTAAATATCGAATTTAACATCTCTTTTTATTGAAAGTTTAATACTTTTTCCCAATTTACGTTAAAAAAATATATTAAAAATGAATCTTTTTCGGCTTGTGGCAGATTTAATGCATTTGGCTTCTATTTTTATTTTACTATTAAAAATTCAAAAGACGCGATCATGTGCTGGTAAGTTATTTTTTGAATTCTCGGAGGAAAAGAAGTTATTTTTGGAAATTTCATTAGGAATTTAGTGGATAGAATAACATGATATTATGATAAATATGATTTTACTTAAAGGCTTAGATCTTGATTTTAGAAACGAATTCCCTAGGGTGGATACGGTTTAAATAATTTATTTAAGAAATGATTTCTCATTTATTTAATACTTTAAATTTTTTTTCTTCAATATATATTCAATTTCCTTTCATAGGTATCTCATTTAAAACTCAAGCGCTTTATGCTGTTGTATTTGTAACAAGATATCTTGATTTATTTTCAACATTTGTTTCATTGTATAATTCATTGATGAAAATATTTTTCATCACGTCATCAATCTACATTTTGTATTTAATGAAACTCAAATTTCGAGCTACATATGATCCAATGTTGGATACTTTTAGAGTAGAATTTTTATTGGGAGGATGTTTGTTATTGGCTCTCATCTTTAATTATGATTTCGCATTTATGGAGGTAAATGTAGTTAAATTTTTTATTACATACAAAGATTTCAAGTTAACTAACTTTTCATTGTTTTAAAAGATTTTATGGACATTTTCGATTTATCTTGAATCAGTTGCAATTCTTCCACAATTGTTCATGTTGAGTCGTACAGGAGAAGCAGAAACAATTACTACACATTACTTATTTGCATTAGGAGCATATAGATCATTGTATTTATTGAATTGGTTATGGAGATTTGCATTTGAAGGTCATGTTGATTGGATCGCATGGGTCGCCGGTGCTATCCAAACCGCTTTATATAGTGACTTTTTTTATATTTATTACACAAAGTAAGTATTTATTTGCTTGATTTAGATACGCAATGTTAATTTATATAAAATTTTACTTATGTTTTCTTTATCATATATATTAGAGTATTACATGGAAAAAAATTCGAATTACCTCAGTCAGTATAAATAAAATAATTTAATGTTGGCATTTTTTATTTTTTTTTCCTTAAAAAAAAGGTAAGATATATATATATATAATTAACGAAATATTATATTTCTAGGGGTGTTGTATAAAGAATTGTACACAAAAGTCTATAGCCTCTGAAAAAAAAATCCTTTTTTCCCCATTGGACATGTTTTTTTGTTAAGCTTGGTAATCTTTTTTTTAATCGACTATTTGAATTTTTCCTAAAATTGTATTTATCATGAATATATATTATTATTTTTGAAGATTTAATTATAAATGTATCTTTCAAAAAATATGATGGTGGCGTAATTATGAAAACGAAGTGATGTCAATTATGTAGTATGATGACGAAATTATTTACGCCACATCTCTTATATTTTTAATATAATAAAGTTTTTTTTTTTAGTATTCATCAGAATTCTTGAGATTTCTTTTTTTCAAAGATGATTATTAAAAAATTATTACCAAGATTTTCTTTTAACCAAATCATTACAAGAAAATATATTACTACGAATTTAATTAAAAAAAGGAATAATAATAATATCAATAATTTATTAATTAACCGGAGCATTATTGATTATTATTCAAGTAAGGGACATGAACCTCCTCCACCGGGAGTTGATGCTGCTACTGTTGAAATTGAGAAAAACGATAGCACCAGTATTGGGAAAGAGCATGACCCTGATGATGCTCCTACAATACTTGATAGTCAAGCTCCTACTGCTTGTAAGTGGTTTTTTTGTTAATATGAATTTTTAATTTCTTTATTTTTGAATCAATTATAATCCTTTTATATTTTAAAAATATATATATATATAGCTGAATCCGCTCATACTTCAGAAATTTTCGATCCAAATCAAAATAAATTTGTCAAGGCTGATGATCAATTGAGTAAAGAAAATTTTGAAAATTACTTTAGTAAAAATGATGACGATGTTGATCCCATTACGAAATTACCAAGCACACAATCCGGCGGATAAGCTTTTTCTTTTCATCAATAATTGGATTTAATTAAAATTTCAATATACAATAATCACGAATTATATCACTTATTCATTCAAAATGTTAATCCCATATTTCTTATTTTTTAAAATAGTAATTCTCAGCTATCAAATATATTTTTTTTTTGAATTTTTTTTTTTTAAAAAAAAAAATCGAATGGAATAATAATAACATAGTAAAAATAATAAATAATATGATAATAATGATGATAATAATGATGATAATAATAATATAAATAATAATAAATCTATCTATACAACTCAATTTTGATCTTAAAATATATAAAATGATTGTAATTTTGATAATGAAAGTGTTTTAAAAAATAAAATAAATATATATATATATTAAAGTGTGATAAAAAAAATGGATGATGTACATATGTATTAAGTATACATAATGATATGTAGCAATATAATCAGGAATAAAATATCTACATGTTCCAATACATAAATAAAAAAAAAAAGAAAGAAATAAGATAATATATTATCACCACATTACTAATAAACCTCTATTGCCTACAAAAATCCTACCTCATTGTGAGATAATACATTTGTCATAAAATATTTATTGTACTTTTCCTATTCCTTTCCCATTGAAAATACATTTCTCTTTCGACATCATTGATCTAAAGAAAGTAACAGTTTTGTACCAAATTTTAATGCTTTATTAAAAGTAGCTTCATCATTTAACCTTATAAATTCACCATTATCTTTATATTTCAAATTATCAAGTCCACCGAAACGATCTTGTAATTTCTTTTGAAATTTTGAAAAATTCATATCATCTTTACCAAGAAGAATGGCATATAAATCCCCACGATGCTCTATTTTGATTTTTAACCCTTCTAACCTTTGTGAAGATCCTTGTGTATTTGTATGGGTTAATGGTGCTGCATCATTTGAATTTACAGGAGTATCATCATGAACTCGTGATGATTTTATAAATTGACCTCCGGCGGTAAGTGAAGAAACTCTATTATGTTTCCCCCCTCCATTAAAAGAAGGTTGTTTCTTGGGTTGATGAAAAACATTCGAATAAGACATTGGAGGGGTTGGATCAATTGGAGAGGTGTCTAGGCTTGATAAAGAAATTCTTTCATTTGTAATGATCTCTCCTGTATCAATCGGATCATTCTGATCATCAGTTTCCACATCATCGTTTTTCAATCCAAACAAAGTATTAATTAATGGATTCGATAATATATATCTTGGTAAACTTAATAACTCTTTAACATAGGCATCTAAATCTATTCTTCTTTGAGATGTAATACTTTCATTAACGAATGAAAGTGGCCCTGGCATGAATGGTAAAATACGTTGCTTTCCTGTACGTCCCGCTTCCTCCGGAAATCTATTTAAAAGTTCTATTTGAAATTCATAAAAATCCTCATATACTCTGTATAAGTATCTAAAACTTCCAGTAATCGTTTTGACCCTAATCACAAACCAATATCTATCATCCTTAAAATAATGTGTATCAACTGAAGCTGACGTTATATCAAGAGAATTCTCATCATCTTCTTCCTCTTCATTTGAATAAGAATTTTCAGGACTCATAGGTAAAGTGTCGGATGCATTATCTACTGTCTTCCTATAATAATAATCCTCATTATCGTCATCATTATTAACATCGGGATTCATGGGAAGAAGGGTATTCATGGAGAATTGGTTGTCAAAATCAAAAGACATTGGAGAAAGTTTTGAATCAATATCAAACGACATAGGAGACAACTTTGGATCTAAATTAACAGGAGCAAGTTTGGGATCCACCAACTTTGGATCTAAACGACCCAAGTTGATACTATTTTCTTGATAATCTTGAGTCATCTTTTTCCATTCTTCAACCTTCGGAACTACCGATTTATCCATTAATTCTTGAACATTTTCTATAGCTTTACCAGTTGCATGATCCCTTATTTCAATAAAAGTTACAGGAATAAGACCGGGACCACCTAACCTTCCAATAGGTTTAGCAACGAACCATTCATGGTTCGATTGAGCGATTACGATGATTGGTTCTCCCGCTTTTGCATCTAATTCATCAGGACGTTCAGCGGCAAAATCATAAAGTACGATCCCATATAATGGTTGAGGTTTACCCCCACTACCTCCAAAATGATGATGTAATGGTGAATCGAAATAACCAGGTTCAGCCTTTACATCTCCACTCATTCTTCCACCTTTTTCTAATACTTGAAAATATGAAACAGGAACCAAACCTTGCATATTAGTTGCAGGATTGCATGCTTCATACCAATCCGGATCATTATTGTTACCGATAACATGAAAGAAATCACCTTTAAAAAATGATAATTCTTGAGATCCATTCGCATCATAATCATATAATGCTTTAATGACTTTGTTTGGAGGAAGGATTGAAGGGGTAGCTTTCATTGAAATTGCGATTGGTGTCGATATTTTATCCTTTGAAACCGACTTACGGAATTCCAAAGGCTTAAAGTTTCTAGGAACCTTTACCTTATTCATCATTTTAATGTGTTAACTAAATAAAAACCAATTTCACAGGAAAAAAAAAAGACGAATTTGCTAAATATTTTTTCAAATAGTAAAAAAAATATTTAAAGATCTAACTGAAGAATATAATATTTAGCTATATTAAAACAAGTATAGTAAAAAAAAGAGAAAACTTTTTAGTAATTCAAAACCACAAAATCTAAACACAGAGTATTTTACTTGAAAACTTACGTTTTATATTTTTTAATGCCTTTCTGATAATCGTAATTAATAAATAGGAATTAAATAAGCAAGCATTTGAACTTTTTAATTTATTAATTTGTATACTTATTATGTCTTTTAATTGAATAGTTTGAATAGTAATAACAAAAATTTGCTTCCTTTATTAATTTTGAACAATAAAAATTTACGGTAAGGAAAACAATTAAGAATTACACGAACGTGACGAAGGATTTCTTTTAATATCCATTTTTTTTTTTTTTGCCATAATCCATCCGCACACAACATTCTCTGAAAAGTCACAATGTGAAACATTGTTAAATAAAGTTTTGTTCCTTTAATTTACTAAATTGGTTAGTAAACATTCACCCGACATTGTACGACCTTTGTAAACTTATCTTAACATTCAATATAATAATTCCGAAAATGATTTGTTAAAAAAAATTTTTAACTAATTAAAGGAATTTTGTAATATCTTTTTCCGAGATGGGGTTTAAATATAAATTCAAATGTTGTTCTTTTAGGGAATCGATTAGCCAATTTTCAGCTGGGAACATGTGATTAAATTGATTTAGCGGTGCACAGCAAATATTATGCCCAGAAACCTGGATCCGATCAAAATACTTAAGCTGGCTTTAAAATTTCAAAAAAAAGAGGTAAACCAATTGATATATTATCGTTATATCTATATATTGTACCAATTTTACCTTTTAATATTGTCCAGATTGTCAGATCGTCTTTTACAAAACTTTAAGTCTATTCGCATGTTTATATGCCACGTTTTTCTTTGCAGTGACACAGTTTGTGGAATACATATGCTTATGCAAACAAACTAACTATTCAAAAAATCAGGTACTCTTTTTTGTTTCTCGAAAAAGCAAAACAGAAATGACGCAAAATAAACTGCCAATTTTTGGGGAAGTTGGGTTTTTTTTTTTTTTTTTTTTTTTTGATGTGCAGAATCTTTTGGGGTTAGGAAATATATCAATAAAATCACCGATTCTATTTTTATTGTATTCTATCTATCAAATCAAAAAAATATATAAAGTAACCAGTTCCGAATCAAAATTCAAAATTTTATTTTTTTTTTATTAAAAAAACAAAATAAAATAATAAATAATTTCTTCAAAATCATGCCACCTCCTAATTTAGAACCTCAAACAAAATTAACTCATCGTCAATCCATCACCACAAAAAAATTCGAACGTGATTATGTACCACCGAGTTTCACCATAAAAGAACTTCGTCAAGCAATACCACCACATTGTTTTGAAAGAGATACATTAAAATCATTTAGCTATGTCTTAAAAGATTTAGCCGTCATTGGGGTTTTAGCTTATGCCGCCACCTTTATTGACTCACACCTACCACAAGCTTTACGTTTCATAGCTTGGCCAACATATTGGTTCTTTTGTGGAGCTTTCGCAACAGGCGTTTGGGTAATTGCACATGAATGTGGTCATCAAGCTTTCTCTCCTTCGAAAAAAATCAATAATGCCGTTGGGTTTGTTCTTCATTCGGCCTTATTAGTGCCTTATCATTCATGGAGAATTTCTCATTCAAAACATCACAAGCATACTGGTCATGTGACTAAAGATCAGGTTTTTGTGCCAAAAACCAGATCAAGGTTAGGTTTGCCTCTGCCTTCTGATGATCCCGAACAGATGAATCATTCCATATTGGAAGATACACCAATCATCAACTTATTCAATTTAATTGGTCAACAATTATTGGGTTGGCCTTTTTATTTAATATTCAATTCTTCCGGACAGGTTTATAGTGGTCGTTGGGCAAATCACTTTAACCCTAATTCTCCCATCTTTGATCCTAAAAATTATGGTGACGTAATCATCTCCGATATTGGTATGACCATTGCATTATCGGCTATAGTTTATTTATCTTACGTTTATTCGTTCCTTAATGTGGCCAAATATTATTTGATTCCTTATTTGATCGTGAATCATTGGCTTGTATTGATCACTTTTCTTCAACATACCGATCCTAAATTACCTCATTATCGTGAAAGTCAATGGGATTTCATTCGTGGTGCTACTTGTACAGGTTTGTTCTCGCAGTGGAGGTTTTTTTTTATTCTTATTTCGTTTCAGGTTAATAACTTCAAATCTTTTTTTGTTACAGTCGACCGTCATATTGGTTTTCTCGATTCAATCTTTCACAAAATCACTTCAACTCACGTAGCACATCATATATTTAGTACGATGCCTCATTATCATGCCCAAGAAGCTACTCATCACCTTGAAAAAGTACTTGGTCCTTATTATATTTTTGATGATACACCTATCTTTAAAGCACTTTGGAGAAGCTTTACTACTTGTAAATATATTGAAGATGAGGGCGATATTATTTTTTACAAAAATTAGAAACTTACTTATATATAAAAATATAGTTATCATTAGAATTCCTTTTTTTACATAATCACATTATACATAATTCATTATCATTAATTACAATTGTTGCCTAAATTTTTTTTTCACAAAAGGTTTGGAATCTTTAAGTAAAGAAATGATGGTTCATGAATATTAACTTATAGTTTACATATTTCGAATCTAATACATATTTCGAATCTAATAAAATTTACTTTAATCGGTATATTGCCCTATTTTTCATTTGAAATTCTTTTCTAATATCTCCAAGTTATTTTATGATTTATCGATTATTATCTTCAAAGACATGACAATAACCGTGTGAGATGTTGAATTGTTTTAAACGTATCAGAGCGGTGTGTATCATGTACTGTATGTATCATATGCATGCATTTGAGATGTCAGCAATGGATGAATAATTATATCGCATGGGTAAATCTTTTTTATTTCATTACACGATCTTCAATTCGTTGTTTAAAAATTCGACCTTTTGAAATAATTTTTTGGTGGAGGTAAAAGCTATAAAAACAATGGTATGTATATAGTTACTTTCGCTTCGGTAAGCTCTTTTATGAATATTTCCGATCATAATCATTGGTAAAAAAAAAAAGTGTTCATTTGCAAGTTCAATAATAGAAAATTTTTAAAAAAAAAAAAAAAATTTGAATCTTTAAGCTAACAAGAGCATGTACAAATTAATATAACTGTACACCAATTTAAGATTATTGCGTTTTCAACATTTTTTCATCAATTAATTAGGAATGATGATGATTTGACAGATGTAAATATGTGGTAAAGCATTTCGTTCGTTGGAATTTCGTTTTGATTGGAAGACCAACCAAGAATAATAACCTTGGTGTGGAGATGATAATGAACTCACTGTTGATTGCAACTCATGTGCGGAAATTCTTCTATTCAGAATTACTATATGCGAATCATTTATGCAAGCCGTTTTGGCAGGTACATTCACATCACATTGGACTATTCCAACCGTAATTTTTTTTTTTTAATAAAATCTTGTTCAGGATTGGAATTCGAATTAAAAAAAAATTGAGAACTTGCTCCATTAAACAAACCGACAATGTTAAACCCCCCTTAGTATTATTATTCCTTATTTGCTCAAGTAGGATTTGAACTTACACTTCGCTATAATGAAAAGTATATCACTGCCGTAGATGTGGAACTGTCATATACGTATTAATTATTTTGAGTGACAATAAAATAAGAAATTTGGGTAAATTAACTTAATTAATAGCACAATTAATGTCCGAATTGATTAGTTGAGCAGTCGGATACGAACCTTTTTATCGAATGGTGAAATTTTAATGGAATACAAATTTCTAGTAGGTAGACATGTATTTCATTATCGTTATGTGTCGAATGAAAAAAAATTCGGATATATTCCTGATAGACAGAAACATTGTTGTGCGAATTTTGAAAAGACATCCTGTGCATAAAATGTTGCATCATGTAAGACTTGATAGGAATGCATAGCCAAAGTTTTACAAGTTAATTATAACATGATTGTTCCTAAAGTAATTCAATTATTCGATACATTTGAACAATATAATGTAATTAATTCTATTTATAAATTAGGAATTTGTTATTTGGTACACCTGTGTGCACACCATCAAGAAAAGGCTCGGGTCATGTGATTATATATGGCTAATTTTAATAAACTTATACTAACCCTAATCTCACATCAAACCTTAACTTAATGCCACGCCACAAGTTGAGGTGGCGTCTGTGACAAATAACGAGTGACAAATAGGTTTCACACCCTAAAAAAAACTGTTTCCATCTATAATACTAGACACCTAATATGAATCACAACTGTGATTGAATTATCCAATTAGAATATATATCTAGATATACATAACATGGGAATGTATTCATAATGGAAAAACTTGAAATAAAGAAACTTACTGATTAGATAGTTATATAACAGAGACAATGATTTGCTGTGATGATATGAAGTATAATGTAAATCAATTTTATGTTATGTTGTGATTTAATTTCTATTGATTTTTGTGATTTTGTAGTACTTGTTATAATATTTTATAATATTTGTAATAATTATATATTATAATTTAATTACAATTAACAAAAAAATATATATAAATTAATTAATTATTTTAATTCAAATATATTATATTTAATTGTTTAAATGATTCTTTTAATAAGTTTTGATGATTATTATCTAATAAAATATTGTATAAAGAAAAATTATTCTCAATAGCAATGATGTGTATTTTATGCTTCCAATGATAAAAAATTTGATTGAAAGCTTCCAATCCAAATAATTTTATTAATAAATTATGCTTCCAAACCTTCCAAAGGTATTTTCAAAGGTGCTTCCAATCTTCCAAGTACACATCACTGCTCAATAGCATAGCTTAATATAATAAG